TCGGACCCTTTGGCTTTTGAACCTTTTTAGTATTTAAACATTGCCCCCTCTATAGTGTGAAATATTCGGCTGTAAAGAAATAAATTTCCAACAACCTAACTAAGCAAGCAATAATGGTTGCTTCCTTCCATAAAGAAGTTGCATGATATGTGTTTACGGCGTCCTTTACAAATCCTTCAAAATCAAGAATTATACTGTTGACATAAATATAATTGAAGATTGTCTTTACTTTTCATCTATTGGTATTTCGTAAATTATATATACTACACTGTTTTTACCTGCTCGTCGTCTTTATTTGGAGGAATTGCATACCTACTTTTATTAAAATTTTGAATTTTAAACTCTGAGAGTGCAAACCGCTAGTGCATACACCATTTTATCGGGTCTATTTTGAAACAGTGCCACCAACGTCTCAATGTTTCATCTTTTACATATTATTTTTAATGACTTGTGGCAGACTGTAACATGATAGGGTACCCTTGTAAACATGTTTCATGTTTGAATTTTGCGTTAGTCATATGCTGTTTGCATATTTACTATTTGTATTTTCAGGTTTTCCTCACAGATGGGTCATCTTACGGAGTAGTGTTTAGTTTGTTGGATAATTTGGAAGAATTTGCAAAACCAAGAGATATTTATAAAGTAAATAACCATATTAATTTTATTGTTGTCTTAAGCTCTTGTGCATTAGTAAATTTTGCGTGTTATTCTCGCCTAAAAAATTTAACCTTTTTAGCCGTGCCCCACCCTCTTGTGCAGATTGTGAATTTTGGCTTTTGTATTAGCCTTTTACATGTAGTAGTCTCAGCTATTGTTTAGTTTTCAACCAATCAGCATCAAGTCTCACTACCCAAGACATATAAGCCTAAGTATTTCACTGTTTGGAATATCTGCAAATAATTCTCCTGAAGACGATTGAAGCAACTCAATCGATCGTTGAGAAATTTTTAACCAACAACAGTTCGTTTCAGAACTAACTACTTGATGTACCGCAAGCATTAATATATATTATTAATTTGCCATTCAAACCTCCAAACAATATTTTTAACTTCCTGGTACAATCAATAGGTGAAATTACCACATACAGCATGATTCTGATTTGTTTTGTTTCTGGTTTTCTGTTCTGTCCCTGTTTGTTTTTTTTAATTATTATTATTATTTCCCAGGCAGTCCCTACACAAGATTTGTTTTCTTATCTTCTTGGGTCTTTGCCTTCTTCCTTTTTCGCATATCTTCACTATTAATTAACTACTTTATCACTGTCTGTTATATTTTTCTTTTGCAAAATATCAAGTTAATAAATGTTATGTTGATTGCTTGATTGATTGAGCAAATTAATAAAAATTAATCTTAGTGTAGGCGTAGACCTGCCTCACATTTGCACTGTGGGATTTCCTTCTAACAAGTGTTAGTCCTGAAGTATTTTTCCTCTGAGTATTTTGTATTATGTTATACGATTGCAAAAAAGTGAATTATGATTTTTTAAATTTTTTTTATATTTAGTACAAGATTGTTTTTTATGTCTAGACAACATAAGAAAAAAAAAAGAAGACATTACTCAAATGCAGTTCGTATCAGTGCTGTTTGATGGGTAGCATCATACATGGTGTTTATGGTCACTTCATTCAACCATAATAATACTTTTATTGAATTTTTTTTTTCAATTAATAAAAAATCTCATCCCGCAACAGATTTTTAGAAACAGGAGAGCTTTGAGGCAAAAAAATAAATTAATATGGCCTAAACTACTTTTTGAGGATTAATGTGCTCTGAAACAAACCCAGCTTGACATAGTTTCTAGATGATATTGGTTTTAGATGTATTTTTTTACAATGTATTCATGATTTTTAATAGGTCCTATTGAAATTTTATTGTTTTATTTTATATTTACAGTATTGTTTATGGAATGCAGTATAACTTACTACTTAATTGCATTGTTTTGCACTTACAGTTAAATTGTAAATTAAACTATTTGTTTATCCTACATTAATATTGTCTTAATTTCATTTTGAATTATGTGACTATTATATATTTTCAGGGACACTTTGAGATGACTAATCTCCAAATGATCATATTCTGGATAAGGTCGATTTACGAACACACCGTAGAACCAGAGCTTTCGGACAACACTAGTCCTTCCTCAGTGGCGAGTGTGTGAGGGTTGAAAAAGCCAGATAGTATAAAGTAAGAATTTCATGCAAGCATGATTAGAAACAATAGGCTAGGTGGGATTAGAATAAACAGCCTAAATAAGTAAACAGGAAGGCCAAAACTAAACTTTAGAGGCATGCCTCAATGAATAAGCCAAATGATTTATCCAGATTAATTTGGAATGCCATAGGTTTAATTTAGTGTACTGGGAGAATGTTCCTAATATTGAGTCCAAATGGTGTGGTGGTTTTAAGTAAAAGTTCCCAGTGATTCTCTTTATCTTTGCGATTTTTGTCACTCCAATTGGTATTATGGTCAATTGCAATCACTCTGAAATTTGAAATTGAATGACCAGCTAAATTGAAATGTTCGGCTACAGGTTGATCAAGCTTAGATGTTCTGATAGCTGATCTGTGTTGTGTCATTCTCATACGGAGAGTGTTTTTTGTTTCTCCGACATATTGTTTACCACAAATTACAATATATGAGATAAATGACATTTTTGGTGAGGCAATTAATTGATTGCCTTATCCGAAATATGTGGTTTGTTTGGTTGCTCTTGAATGATTGTGTAGAATCAAGCAAGGAGCATGTTTTGCATGATGAACCACAAAGATGACTACCCAAATTATAGCTGTCGCAAGAGTTAATTTGCCTCTTGAATTTCGATCGTACTAATACGGTATATCACGAAAGTTAGGTGGTCTGCGATAGGCTATGAACAGTGTATCCGGAAAAACAGACCTAAGACGTTCTGTATGGGCATATGTTTCTGAATTATAGCCCTTAGTGGTGGTAACCTAGGGTGATAGGTAGTGACCAGTGGCACTCTGGTCGATCGCTTACGTGGTTTGTACGTCAGTGTAAATTTGAGCATGAGGTATGTCCTTTGCTTTTTTTTACAGCATTTTCGATGGGTCCTCGATGATAATTTCTATTCCGGAGATGTCCGTGTAGCTCTTCTGTGCGATTCTGAAAATCTAAATCTGAAGAACAAATGCGTCTCATGTGCAATGCTTGGCTGCTGTACAGAATGTTTTTTTGTACAGTGCGGGGGATGACAGAGGCTAGGGAGCAGGTACATATGCTTATCTGTGGGTTTACGGAAGAGATCAGTTTTGAGTGCACCATTTTTCGAGTGTTACTTCAATGCGAGTTGCGGGTTGCGAGTTACAAAATGCGAGTTGCGAGTTACAAAATGCGAGTTGCGAGTCGCAAAATGCGAGTTGCGAGTCGCAAAATGCGAGTTGCGAGTCGCAAAATGCAAGTTGCGAGTCGCAAAATGCGAGTTGCGAGTTGCAAAATGCAAGTTGCGAGTTGCAAAATGCGAGTTGCAAGTTCCAAAAATGTGAGTTGCAAAATGCGAGTATCATGTGATGAAAATCGACCAATTAAATCAATCCTTTATGAAGTCATCCATGGCCAATCCATGTTTACATTTTGTGTTGGATTGCAAAATTCTCCTGTCACTTATACAGTACCATCATCCTTAGAAACATAAATGTTTACTTCCATACTCATGTGCTCATGTTGTATGCCTTTGTATTTTTTTTTCCTACGAACAAAAATGATTTAATGTTTTATGCACAATTTAAAGTTTTGGCACGGTTTTAAGTGGTTTGCTATTTTAACTTTAATGAGTCCAAGACTTCAGTGGCATAGAAATTTGTAATAAATTAAATCAAATAGTTTGAAATCAATGATTAAATCAAATAGTCAGACAACCAATGATGTAAATACTCCCCCTTCACAAACACACACACACACCACACATACATACATTTTTCAGTTGCTTTTTCATTTATATAACATACATGTTAGGAATTCACAGAAGCAAGGTTACTCATAGCAAGTTGTTAAATACATACACACACACATACAAACTGAGGTCTACATTCATATCAATTGTTTTACAAATTTGGTAGAAGCTCTTACAAGGTACTATATATTCTGTCGGTTACTGGTACACTTTTTTTTTTATAAGAACACAGAGGCCAAAATTGCTTAAAAATTAAGAACAAAATAAGAACAAATTGAGGCTGAGGTAAAATTTCAAATGAGGTGTGACTGTAATACCCTCTATAATACAGTACAGTACTATCTGATGGGGGCAATTGTTTGTGGGGTCGCTTTCATCTACATTCCAGTACAGTACTGGCATACAATTAAATAATTTTTTGTTTAAAAGGTGTGTAAACCAAGAACAAAATAAGAACATTTTGAGCCTGAAATCGGCCAAAAAATAAGAACACCGAGCCTGGGCAAAATTTTATTGTTTTTCTTTTTTTTTAAAGTGTATATTTTAATTCAGCTGGGTCACAAGAATGTAATGAGTACCATACCAATTGGAGTGACAAAGCAATGAAATTATACATTTATTATTCATATGGTTATTTATTGAAAATTTATAGTACTCTTTTTTGGATGCCTATTTATTCCTCAGTTTGTTAGGTTCAATTTACTCCTGGTCTCACCGGTGTACGGTAAGAATGGCCCCGGAAAAAATGGCCCCGGAAAAAATGGCCCCGGAAAGAATGGCCCCGGAAAAAATGGCCCCGGTAAAAATGGCCCCATATGACAGGTAGGTAAAAATGGCCCCCAA